TATGGGTCAATCCGTCTTACACTGTCTCCCTTCAGTTTCCATTTGTAACGGTGGTGTTTACAAAGACCAATTGCCTTGCTGAGACTTCTGAACAGGGTCTCGTTGTGCAATGCGAAGCCTGGCAATGGTGTTGCATCAGGAAAGGCGCCATGTCAATGCCATCCAGCCGAGGATAATCTCAAAGGCAAATTTGGATCCCTACGACTACATACTGTTATCTCGCCTATGGGGAAATACATGGACGGGTTTCTCCCACGTCTGTCTGAGACCTGAAGGATGAAGGGGTGCGACCATTTACACCCGCGGCGCCCTTTGGGCAGCCATGTCTCTGAATTACCATGTTCTACCGCGTTCGCGACTCCAAGCCATGAATTCCTTTGCACATGTTTTGCTACTGCGTAGGTGGAGGCGGTGTCTTGTTGCCCACCAAGCCGGGACTACATAGGACGTCAGCCCAGAACGCCTGTCTCGTACGGTCCAGCACGGCCGTATTGACTATCCCATGCTTATTATGGCGTCTTTTCGTGCTTCTTATTCCAGTCTCCAAACTTTCAGCTAGACAAGGCATGGCCCCCACCGCCTTTGCTGGGCCGTGTGCTTATGTCTTGCGCAGATACATACAGACGTTTTCTATCACAGTGTCGTTGCTTTTTTAGGCGCTTGATATCCTTCGAAAGAGCACCGAAACATGTCGTAGCCTATCAATACCCGGTCCCCCGATGTGTTGATCTATGACAAGTCTTTACAAGCTTAGTAGAAACGAGTGGTTGTTACAAAAGTGCTACAAGATTGGATGGCGAGACGCTGTGTGTTAGCAGATCATGTTGCACTTATGCGGTACTTGGGGTATACGTGATTCAGGGACTCAATGAGATATTGATAATATATCGTGTTATATGAGCATAGTTATGGCCATAGCTCCTAGGCACTGGCAAGCTATCATTGTCTCCGGATATGTGCATGCTCGCCTCGGTTGCCAAAAGCTGATGGATCCGTTTCATGATCCTCCCTCGAGGAACAACCAAGTACATGAGGCTGGCTCAAACGACCCTGGAATGGCTGAGCTGTAATTTGTTATCTCTGTGTTCATCACATCGAGATTCTGGAGCTTCGAGAAACTTTGTGGAACACGAGCTTGGGCCAGGGGTTGAAAAAGAACTTAAGCAGGGCAACATGTCTAACAATTCCTGGATCTTTGCCCTCTCTTGTTGGTAGCTGCGCTCTTCCTTTCTTTTTTTTTCACGCTCAATAGCGCCTTGTCTTTAAGCCATCATGACGCGCACCACCTCATATGTGTATGAATGCATATAGGCAGGTCCCGCTCCTTGTCTCCAAGTTGTGCAACCCGAGTAGGCAGAGAGACAAGACATGCCATTAACCGGGTAGGAAGCCGGTATCAGGAAGAGACCCAGGCGATTGGGTGTGTGTATTTGTCTCTCACTGATTTCTCTCATGCTTACATAGAGTACAGTTGCTTGTGAGAAATGTCTATGCCGTACTCATGACGTGAAGTTATTAGTGTAATACCGGATCAGGTGCAGCTGGAACTCGGATGCTCTGACTACCTTAACTAGGTAGGGTAGGCGTGGTATGATGGAGAGAGATGAGACAGAGTCACAATAAACATTGGTCTCCAACTCTTACTCACGGTTATTCTCGTCAAGCCTCGGACATGCATTGTGCACAGTCCTTTGTTAGTGTTTGGTGCTTGTCTACAGTGGATAACGTTAACTTTACATCCATAGCTGTGAGACATGAGCTTTCCCCATCTCGTTCCCCCACGTTGGAGGTGGAGTTCGGGCTCTCACGGCGTCCTTGGACGGATGAAGACGGCATGAAAAACACAGTCATCGAGTTTCAATGGTGTCGTTAAGTGGGAATCGCTGCATGTTGTGTTGCAAGAGGCGAATTAAGGCGTCAACTATCACCATCGCCAGTCACTGAGTGTCTATCCACAATCAACGGCCTCATTTTGGCTTCATTCATTCACGTCCAGGGTGCTCAATTCCTTCATAGGATAACTCCCTCCCAGAATCGGGTATAGAGGCATGGCAAACAAAGGGCCACTGGTCGCGAACAGACGTTTTCTTTTTTTTTTTTTTTTTTGCCCTCCCCAAGTTCCAAGCCTCTTCAGGTCCCGATCCCCCAAATGGTGACATTAGAGGGTCACATCCGCATTCATTATACCAGTTTAGACTTTTTTCCTCTCTCATTTTGCAGGACCAAGTGCTCCAACTGGTTCAAATCTCCTCCCCCAACACACCACACGACACTAAGGTAACTAACAACCCCAGAAATTTTACGGGGGCCGGTTATCGCGGGGATGGCTTTCGTAAGCTCCAAACCTTCAAGGGCACGGCCGTTCGTGAAGCGAGGCCATCACCATCTGGACCACTCACCATCAACGGAGGCGCCCCTGTAGCGGGAGGCAAAAAGGCCAACAAAGTCCAAACAGAACCATATCGAAACCCAAGCCTAAAGCGTAGGGTTCCTCCGTTGTGACCCTCCAGCTCAAGCTGCTATGGCCTCTCTGCCTCTCTCTCCCCTGCCCTAGGAGCACGCTAGGCTAAGACGTTATCAACGATCGTCAAAAGCTTGGCTCTTTGGAGAGGAGGAGTGGACGCTTGCAGGATCTGGGAGCATCTAGAGTTTCGCCTATTCGATATCCCGAGAGGTCTTGTGGTATCCCATGTCTGACTATCTCTGTTTTTCCTCCTCAAGTTTTTCGTCAAGGAGGTCCTCCGAGATTACTCCTAGTGTGATTGATTGATAGTCATGGATATAACTGAGACCATCCATCACAGCTGATAGTTACTAATGGATCGTTCGTGGTGGTGGTGTTAAACCCGTGCCAGTTGTGGTTCATTTCTATTCGCCCGATGTTTTGAACCCTGGTACGAAAATTCTTTCCAGCAGCTCAGTTCGCCTTTCGATCTAAGGTGCAGCGGACAATTCGATCGGGAATAGTTTTGGGGCATGACAGTTTACGCGAAAGCGAGTTTAATAACAAACTCTACTTACTGATACCCCTGACTGCAAATCTTTCCTTTCCTTAAAGGGATATGCTCGTGAATGACAGTTTGTTTGTTATTCACAGTGGATTCTGTCCCATGAGTCTGGTACTGTACGTATCGATTGTGAGCTAAGCCAATGGAACCTTTTGGTACTAGAAAGCTGAGATTGAATGGCTGGCTGAAGTTGGCTGAAGTCGGCTGCATACATACATCCACGATTGTGCCAGACATATGCCGCAATTATCCCGTCATCGAACGTAAATCGCATGTATGTCTGGGATTCACACCCAGTGATATTCGCTTCTTTCTCTCTTGCAGGATCTCTATGACACCCTGACAGGGAATAATGCCCCTAGAGATAACAATTCACTGTACTGCCCTGTCAGATTCTGTTCGGGTATCGGTATTGCATTGGATTGTAAGGGTTCAGGCACACACACACACACACACACACACACACACACACACACACACACACACACACTCACTCACTCACTCACTCACTCACTCACTCACAGACAGTAAGCACACCAGGGCCAGGCACAAGAGATGTAGTCTTCGATTTGTTTTCAAGCCAACCTGCAGTAGCTTCACCACCTACAGGGCACCATCAGATGCACTGAGCTGGCTGACGTGGACATGGCATGACCAAAAGGGCATGCCTAGCATATTCCTTTGTTCCTGTTGCGTGATGGGTCAACTAATCTGGCTATCTGTTTGATAACAACTGAACTGAAATCTCTGCAGCTGAGCGGCGTCTACCGGTGTCTCCTCTCAACTTGACCGACACCCTCAGCTTACCACCCGAAGACGGGCTGTCCATATCACTCACACTGACACGCTAAAGCACCGGCTGTTTCCAAGGGTCCAGCCGCTTCAAACAATCCTTGTATGATGTCCATTAAACAGCATTAGTGAATCCCCTCAGCGTTTCCCCGTCCCCATAAGTCGGACCGTCTCTAATTTTTTACTCACTGAGCTGGGGGTTCAAGGGCCGTTGGATGGCATCTGCACCTTAAAAAAAGAATTTCAGAGCCCTTGTCCAAAATATCGGGACCTGGGCATGGATCAGGTCTTCCGATTGGTGAACTGACCTCCAGACGGGATCTATCCGTAGCGGACCGCCGGGTTGGGCGCCGGAGTACAAATTTGAACTGCGACTACGGCACCACCAACACCAACACCAACACCAGTGCAATTGGATGGATACAGTTTTGCCTCACTTTTGTCTTCCGGCTCCTCTCTTTGCTCTACCGTAGGGGACGTGCTCAATATGTCTCCATCGGGCTTGTTGCATTTTTCTCCCAAGGACGAGACCGGCCTGGGGGTCTTTGGTCTGAGTTGTCTGTCAGTGGAAAGCATCGGCCTGAACCGGTTGGAGGAGGTCTTTGTTTGTGTCTGGAGAGGACCGATTCAACTACACGTCCAGTAGACTACCCTGAATCATTGGACCAAAACATCCATGGCAGCGTGTGCTTTCTCATAGACGTCCCGAAACTGTCTCGCCATATAGGGTAAGGAAACGTAGGTAGGTAGGTACTTATCAATGAGTTGAACAACCGTTGTAATGGCAAGAATGTTTAGAAGGATGCAACTCGGAAACTTCCATTGGAACCAGCTTCTAGGTACTCTATGTACCATGTAATCGTTCCATTGTGTTCGAGTCTGATTATCTGCCGTCCCTGTAATTAAACCAAAAAAGAAGAGAACCTTTCCTGCTTCTGGGAGTTCTTGCAAGTCGAATCCTCAAAAAAAGAGCAAGAGCGAACAGATAGAAGTTCCGGCAAGATTAGAATGTAAAGGGAAGGGAGAAACGAGGAGCAGAACACCCACAGAAGGAACCAAGAGTCAGGAGCCATCTCTTAAAAGCTGCGTCTCTGATCCTGCGAATGATCTGAGCCATTGAAAACAAACACCAAATCCATACTCACATATTCAAGTATAATGGACCTAAACAACATCAATCCCAAGCATTTTACATATCCAATGAGGCTCGGCTCGGATGGAAAGTATCTGAAGCCAGTCTTCGGCGAGGAAGAGATCCCAATGTTCCAAAGCGTCACACATATGGAGTGCTTCCCTTACTGGTATTGTTTCTTCGTCAAGAGCCTCCCCCCGCGTCCTTGGCCTCTCACAATCAATGGACGTCCATTTACAATAACACTCAAGACTCCAGAAGACTTCTCCCTCACACCTATCAGGGGTAGCCTTCAAAAAAAGGTTCCAGGGAATGACTTCACCATTCCAAAATATCGAGTCTCAAGCATCAAACCCCGAGATATTTGTTGGGAACCCGGACCTACGTATTTGCGTCAACATCGATGTACGCCAAGATCCTTTCCCGGAGTCCTCGCTGCGAGCGATGCTTCGAGATGTAAATGAGATGTTTCCCAGTCATCCAGCCTATCCGAAAGTTATGGAGGTCATGCTGACCATGGACCAAAAGATCGTGGTTAGCGTAGGCCGGGAGATTAATTTGAAGTCGAAGGCGAACCAGCTTCCAGGCTACATTGCTTGCTGTGAAGTTACTTATACGGCGGTGGAAGATACTGGTCTCGAACGATGGTCCGACTGGCACTCAAGACAGCTCACCGATCGCCAGTGGCCTGATAATGTCCCCAAACTACCCCTATTCCCTGGAATGAGCGTCCGTGGTTCCCAAGGTACTGGGAACCCGAAAGGGAGAAGGAATACACCACACTTTGCAGTCAATGTATCTAGTGGCGTTCTCATCAAGGACCAAAAGGACCAACATATGATGACCACGGCAGCGCGTATTGTTCGCCCCGGAGAAGTTGTAGGAATGAGGGAGTTCTTCTTCCAAAACAGAATTGGATTGGTTGGAGATGTGGTCCCGGGCACAGATGTTGCTCTGGTAAGGCTAGACGATGCTATCAATTACAAGAACCAGGATGGGACTAGGACATTTACGCGGCTACTGGGCGAGGAGCCAGATGATGCGCTTCCATGGAACTCTATTGCCAGTCTCGCTACACGTTGGCCTCCCTATACTGAAGGTATAATCGTTGCAAAGTCAGTCAGAGTCGTGCGCCATACTGCAACTACTCAACATCGAGTCTACCACTGGGCTTAGACTGGCCAGCCGGGGAATGAAAAAGGTCCGAACCCTGCGCCAAGGGACACAATGATTGGAGCTGCGGCGATCAGTGAGACCGGAGTTGTGACAGGACTTCTTCATTCCAACGAACGCGGTCTTCGGTCAGGCTACTCTGTCATATTGAGTGCAAATGAACTGGTGGATGCCGGTTACAGTTTAGTGACTTGAGTCCTCTGGCAAAGCACATAAGGTGAAAAAGTTATTTGGACAATGGGCTACTTAAGATGGGCAAACTGTTTCTCAATGTCCATGTGAAAGGTTGAGAAGTGGTAGAGAAGTTTCGAAAATCCTATCGGGAAGATATTAACCCTGTTTCATGGGCTCAGCGGGAACATGAAGGCAAACCACCAGCCAGGTTCGTTACAAAGCGTCTCTATCCACAGCGTTATCAAAATTTATTGTTTAATCTAATCATGCTAAGACAGAAATGCTATTGCAGTGCTTCCATCACTCGCTGTAGACCCAGATCAAGGTACTCATCTGGATGGGAAAACACAATTCTGAACCAGCCTGGCTTCTCGGAACCAAAGGCTTTACCCGAGGCCAGAAAGACTCTCGTTTCAATCAATCTGTCCATGACAAGATCCGTGATATCGTCAGTCTCAATCTTTGGGTGCCGTGCCTCGTAAACCTTGCCGAGATCAACCCATAAGAAGAAAGCAGCGTTCACACCCGGAGCGTAATCGATATTGTTCTTCACTGCCCAAGAAACGACCCGAGTGTATTGAGTTGATAGCTTTCTTTGGTTCTCGGCCAAGTATGAATCGACAAAGGCGTCGTCCTCCAAAACGTTGGCAGTGATGTGGTCGGAGATGGAAGATACGGAGCTGTACAGACCAACAGCAACTATAGCAGAGTGGAGGGATGGGTTGGCCTGAGATACAATGGCCCCGACTCGGATGCCATTGGCACCAAAGTCCTTGGACATGCCCCATAGAACGTGTAGCCTCTCAGGGTCAATGATACCTGTAGTGTCGACGGAAAGAGCAGATTCGAAAGGAATAGGGGGAGGGTGTTGATCGACAGTGTTCGGCCAGACTGAGAGGGCGTAGATCTCATCGCTGATAAAGTGAACCTTGTACTTCTGACACAACTTCATGAAGGCAATGAGAGCATTGCGAGAATAGCAACGCCCCAGGGGGTTATGTGGGTGACTGATAACTAGACCGGCAACCTTGATCCCCTTGGCTTGAGTATCGAGAATGGCTTCCTCGTACTTGGCCACTGCCTCTTCACAGAGAGGATCGATATCACCAAACGCAACTGGGAGAAGCTTGGCCCCAAAACGATACGTAAGATCCGGTATAAAGGTACCATAGTAGGGTTGGCCAAGCAATATCCCATCACCAGGGTTCGCAACCGCCCACGACAAATGCTCAATGGCAGCGCTACATCCGTTGGTCATGGAAATATGCGCTGGTTCAATATCGCGGAAAGGCTTCAGATGCTTGTTCAAGAACCTAGAAACGGCCTGTTTGGCTCTTTTCGTACCCGTGGTACCATCTCCATAAGTAAAAGCCGGGTTGGTCAAGGCCAAGTTATCATGAATGTGTTTTCGTAAGACATCGTGCATGAGGGTGTTCTCAGCCACCCCGAGACTCACGATACCATCAGGATTGGTATCTTGGTCGTAAAGATTGGTGATGACTTCCCACAAAGCCATCCCCTTGCATGCCTCTTCGGCTTCGTGGGCGCGATTTGAGAGTGCCATTGCGTTTGACGGTGGCGTGTAAGTGTAGTGAACTGTTGTATTTCGAGAAAACATATGATAACTCTCCTCTATATATCGGCTGCCGAACTACTGTGGCTACCGGTCACCGACAGCCGCGTAGGACAACATTCATAAAAACCCCGATCGTGACTATTATGTAAATTCCCCGTGTTCACTTTGACATAAGGCGCGTAGGGCGTGGAATTTGGCAATTGAGTTCTTGATACTATCTCGAGGCGTCATGATCTCGCTTGAGTCAGATACGGCTTGGGTTCCCGCTGTGACATAGCCATATGACAGCGCAAGGGCGCTAGAAACTTGGTGGAACAATGCATGCAACGACTTTTGTAAAGCAGATGATTTTTAGCTAGGGATTGATGGATCAATCTTTGTCTCCGTTATCTCATTGCTGTAAATTCGAAGTCGATAACTTGACGTTATTATGTAGACACAAGTGCTCACCAATATGTATATACACCCAGTTACTCAAGCATGTACCACGAAAAGACCCAAGATCGATAACTCGAAGTATAAATGGGGTTCGTAGGAGATATTAATCTTCAAACTACGACAAGTTATCACGATGCAACGAGGAAACGCAACGTAGGACCTAGTGATATTAACGAGCCATAAATCAACAACTCCTTTTATTTGTGTGACCCTATATTAACGCTAGTATCCGCTCCTCTATATCTTCTCTATTTCAAAGTAACAAGCTCTTCAGCGCTCGTGGGATGAATAGCAACACAGCTATCAAAATCGGCCTTTGTGGCACCCATCTTGACTGCAACACCAAAGCCCTGCAGCATCTCACCACTACCCAATCCCATAATGTGAAGACCGACCACCTTTTCCTCAGGTCCAGTAACAATCAGCTTGTAGTTTGTTGGTCCCTTCTGCTCGGGCTCCATCATGGCATAGTACATGGCTGTGAAGCTTGTCTTGTAGACCTTGATGTTGTCCTTGCCGTACTTCTCAATGGCTTGGGGCTCGGTGAGACCGATGCTGCCGACTTCAGGGTGCGAGAAGACGACTGAGGGGACGTTGCTGTAGTCGAGTTTGAGGTTAGCAAACTCGGGGCCGCCGAACAGACGGTGTGCAAGACGGCGACCAGCTGCGATAGCGACTGGGGTCAGCTCAACTTCTCCGGTAACGTCACCAAGAGCGTAGATGTTGTCGACTGCAGTGTTTTGGTACTCGTCGACGAGGATATGCCCCTTCTCGCCAAGCTTAACTCCGGCCTCCTCCAGACCAATACCCTTAGTCTCAGGAGTGCGGCCAATAGCCCAGATCAGATTGTCGACATCGCTGACAACACTCTCGTTGCCCTGATCATCCTTGTATGTGATGGTAAGCTTTCCGTTGGAATCCTTCTCGACCTTGCTGGCTTGCGAGCGCTTGTGCAGCTTAACACCAAGTCTTTCATATTCCTTAGTGACGCTCTCCTGAATCATGGGATCGAAGTTTCGAAGGAAAGTGTCGTGGCGGATAAAGAGGTGAGTCTCCGTGCCAAGGGCATTGAACATGCCAGCAAACTCGACGGCGATGTAACCAGCGCCGACAATGGCAACCTTCTTGGGCTGTGTCGAGATATCGAAAAAGCCATCACTGTTGGTTCCGTACTCGGCACCGGGGATCTCAGGGGGGATAGTAGGCTTGCCGCCGACAGCGACGAGGATCTTCTTAGCGTTGACGAGGACCTTGGAGTTGTCGTCGAGTGTGACCTCAGCCTGGTTCTTGGAAACGAGGCGCGCCCATCCGTGTAGGTAGTCTACCTTATCGTTGCTGAGGTTTCGCTCGTAGATGCCGTTCAGACGCTTGATGTAGGCGTCACGCTTGGTCTTGAAGGTGGACCAGTCGAAGGGAGCGGTTTGTTCAACGGAGAAGCCATAAGCCTTTGCGTCGTGGATGGCTTCGGCGAGGGCGGCAGCGTTGTAAGTGACCTTCTTTGGCACACAGCTAGGTTGCATTAGCGTAAATTCGGATTGCATATTGCATAGTTCATCGGTACGCACCCAACGTTCACACAAGTTCCACCGAGTCGCTTGTTTTCGACAATAGTAGCCTTGACGCCAAACTTGCTGCTGGCCATGCGCGCAGAGGCAAGACCTCCACTGCCTCCGCCAATGACGAGGTAGTCGGTCTCCTTGGTGATGGGAGCCATATTGCGCGCAGAAGTAGAGAGATGGCGGGTAATTGAAGCTATTCGCAGCGGGGTCGTTCTCGAGGACGAAGACAGGGTTGATGAGCGTAGGGAGTGGGCTAGAGCTTGCATGAGGTTGCCTCGAGGCTTAACCTTTTGTACTTGGTATGGAAAGAGTGGGAAAGAGATTGGGAGGGGAATGACGTCTTTTAAAAGCGACCAAGATAGGACACTAGATGCGAAGGGACGAGAATGAGAAGTGGTAGGTAGGTAGTGGTTGTGGCGGGGTTACTTGAGATTGACGGAAGCGGATTGGATGGACGTGATTTGAGAAACGAGAATTGTGTTATTAAGACAATCAATGGAGGGTTGAGTAAGCAAACCGACTTCAGTTCAAGAATTGGTTGGTTGATATCAATGACGAGCTGCAGAAAAGAGATGATTTCAAATCCACCCGCATTGAGGATGATTTTTTGATCCCCGAGCCTAGGTAACTACAAGCTCCGTTAGCGGGGATGGTGGTTCACAGTGGAGACCATGCCGAGCTCCAGGGTCCCTTTTTGGGGTCCGATGATGGTGTCAGGTTCCAAACCAGATCAATGGGTACCTATGGAATCATGTTTCAATTCAATTCGATACGCCCTCTTACTTGCTCAGTTCTACCTTAGTAGGCTACCTAATGCTTCCAGAAGTTCTGACATAAGCGTCGCATTAGGTTACATGGATTTCAGCTCCGAGGCTGATTACAAAGATAGAGGCGATACCAGACGTATTTGGTCGCCCATTCATGATATTATTTCATGGCACTCTGAGACTTTTAGCTATTTCCTGAAATATTCAGTGTTTAGTCATGACTGGGGCCACTATAGCCTGGTCACATCATAAACACCGATGATGGTGTATATTGAAACTCTTTCACTTCATGCTCGAGTAGGGCTGGATGGGCTACAAACTCTGTAAACCCCAAAGACCTTTGACAGAAATGATTGAACTTACGATTAGGCTAAACTAGGCTTCACCAAGTCAAATGAGACATCTTTTGAGGCCTCGGAATCCATGGATGCACATGTAACGGGAAGCCTCGCATATGCATGCATATCCGGCAGCATGGTAGCACGACACCAAGTCTTACTGTCATAGAGTCTGGAAACTGGAATTAAATGTCAACCTTTAAATCTTCTAGTCTCCGTTTTCTTTAAGTATTTGTAGAGCCTTAGCCAAACCTCTCTCATGTGGCACAGATCGTTCCCCTTTTTTAATGGTAGATGCTGCATACATTCAAATTCATGTTCCTGGTATGTTGTGCAAAGTAACGGTTTGGCGTGAAATCTCTATAGTAGACAACAGTAATAGAAATAGGACATTGAAGAACATGAGACCAATCAAGCAACATGCTATTCGCGTCATGGTGTTTTCTTCAATATCATCCATTCAAGCGTCATGACGTATAAATGTGGAGCTTTGATATGGAGCTGAATATCGACAGCTTGAGCTTGAGCTTCGGTGGCCCTCCCCTCGTGGCTTAAACCCTTACGTAGCCTGTGAGACTCTGGCGCGAGAGAGGACGAGTTTCAAACTTCCAGTGCGCCTCTAGCGGATGATTGCTTCTGTCAAGGTTCTTTATCCCCTGTCACGTCCCGCCGGCTTCTGGTTGGTTACTGGGCAGCCCATCACCACCTCTCATTTGCTGCGTTGCTCCCTCTCGACTTGGACCAACCCCCCCATAATGGTCCAGCCCAGGCTGACGATCCAATCTCCATACTGAAGCGAAGCACAATTCAACCTCCATCTTGTCTCCTCAACTACATATTCTCCACGCCCGTTATATCGGCTTCACTATCGATCGCTTTATCGGCTGTATAATCGATTACTGCGATCCATCACTATCGTATACTCGAGAACCTTAATATCTCTCCTGGCGCTATCGCGATCCATCCATCGTCCGTCTCTACCGTCCTGAGCTTCCATAGCTCGTATACGCGATCATGGCGGCTGATGAAGGTACTTGAAGCCCACATCCAATATTCTCTATCACACAAAGCTGACAAACCAGCGCCAAACCTGAACCTCTCCCCTGAGGAGAAGCGCACTTATGGACAACTCTTCCGACAGGCCGATTCAGACAGCGTCGGTGTCGTTGTCGGTGAAATTGCTGTCAGGTTCTTCCACAAGACAGGTTTAGACTCCCGTATTCTTGGCGAGGTAAGTTGATGATATAAATCATCCTCCTACTGACTTAAAGTCAATGCTGATACTCGAATTAGATCTGGCAGATCGCCGATAAGGAGAACCGAGGTTTCCTAACACCAGCTGGCTTCGGTATCGCCTTACGACTCATCGGACACGCACAAGCCGGCCGCGAGCCCACACCCGAGATCGCCCTCCAACAAGCTCCCCTTCCTCGCTTCGATGGCATCGTTCCTCAAGCTACAGGTGCCGGTGGTATTCCTCCGCCTCCGCCTGTTCCCGTCAGCTCGCCGCCTCCCCCGGCCGCTCTTCAAGCCCAGAGCACAGGCGGGCCGATCCGCATCCCACCCCTGACTCCTGAGAAGGTCGCTCAATATAGTGGTTTATTCGAACGTCAACCTCTCCAAGGCGGTCAGCTTCCCGGCGACCAGGCCAGAACCATCTTCGAGAAGTCCGGCCTGCCCAATGAAGCACTGGGAAGAATATGGCAGCTTGCCGACACTGAGCAGCGTGGTGCTCTTGTTCTGACCGAGTTCATTATCGCTATGCACCTTCTTACCTCCATGAAGACAGGAGCTCTCCGATCTCTCCCTAGTGTCCTCCCCGCTGGTCTTTACGAGGCTGCATCACGCCGTGGTCCTGCCTCACGCCAATCTTCGACTGGTCCTGGCATCTCAGCCATTCCTCGACAAGTCAGTGGAACAGCCCAGGTTCGCACAAACAGCCCTCTCGGTCGTCCTCCCATGTCTCCTCAACAGAGTGGTGCTAGCGACTGGGCTGTGACACCTGCCGACAAGGCTCGATTCGATCAAATTTACGCCGACCTTGACAAGGGGAACAAGGGATATATCACAGGAGAGGAGGCTGTCACTTTCTTCAGCCAGTCTAACCTTCCCGAAGACTCCTTAGCCCAGATTTGGGATCTTGCCGACACAAAATCTCAGGGTCAGCTTTCGCGAGACGAGTTTGCGGTTGCTATGTATTTGATTAGACAGCAGAGAAGCGGCCGTTCTGTCCCTTTACCAACTACTCTACCACCCAATTTGGTTCCCCCTAGTATGCGCACCCAGATTCGACCACAGACTGCTACATCCGCCTTTGATCCGCCTCCCCCACCTGTCGTACAGGCTCCTCCTCCTGCTCCCAAGTCCGCTTTAGATGACTTGTTCGGCCTTGAATCAGGCACGTCCAGCCCTGCACCCCCTCCCCCTGCTCAGGCTCCAATGTCAACAGGAGGTTCCAACGCCAACGATCCTTTCGCCGGTGGTTCTGCACTCACACCTACCTCTCCCGTTAAGCCATCCCTCACAGGAACCGGCGGTTCAAGCTTTAAGCCATTTGTGCCGTCATCCTCATTTGGTAGAGGCTTGACGCAACAGCCTACTGGTGGTTCAGCTGGTTCTGGCCAGAAGCTTCCGGCACCTTCTGCATCCGAGGATTTGTTGTCAGATAACGATGAGGCTAGCAAGAACATCTCAGGGGAAACCACAGAACTTGCAAACCTTTCTAACCAGATCTCATCTCTGTCCAAGCAAACCCAAGATGTGCAGGCCAAGAGGAATACCACTCAAAATGAACTGAACCAGGCCACATCCCAGAAGCAGAACTTCGAGCAGCGACTGGCTCAACTGCGCACCCTCTATGAGAAGGAGGCGCAAGATACTCGTGCCCTTGAGGAGCAACTCAGCAATGCACGGAAGGAGACCGCCAAACTTCAGTCTGAATGCATGGCGCTTGAAGGAACTTACCGTGATACTCAGACGCAGCATCAGCAGGTATTGGCAGCTCTTCAGGCGGACCAACAAGAAAATACCAACCTCCGAGAACGAATTCGTGTAGTCAATGGAGAGATTGCGCAGCTCAAGCCTCAGATTGAAAAGCTCAAGTCTGATGCTCGCCAACAGAAGGGACTGGTCGCCATCAACAAGAAACAACTGTCCACCACAGAGGGCGAGCGTGATAAGCTAAAGGGAGAGGCGGAGGAGCTTACCAAGAGCATTGAGGATCTTCGGCTGGCAAACACTGGCTCGCCAGCATCTGCTTCGGCTCAAATTGCAAGCCCAGCTGCCTCGACCTCTAGCGCCAACAATCCCTTCTTCCGCCGCACTGCAAGCACTGATATTATGGGTGCATTTGCTTCTCCTCCTCCCACTAAGAATGTCTCTGACAAGTCTTTCGATGACCTCTTTGGCCCCTCATTTCCACCCAGCGCCTCGGCCACTCCTCCACCACCTCCACAGACCTCGTTCAAGCCCCAGCATACTGGTGCCTCGACCGCTAGTGCTGGTTCATACAGCACCCCTCCTGCTGCGAGCTCTCCTATTATGAGCCGCCAAGCAACTCTTGCTGCTGAGCCCCCTGCTCCCCCGGAGTCAAGGCAGATCAGTTCCAGCTTCTTGCCCTTCCCTGACCATACTGAGTCGCTCTCATCCTCTCGCCAAGTGTCACCCCCTGCTTCGCGTGCTGATGACCCTCTCCACGGTTCAGCCACCCCTGTTCCCGGTGACCTGAAGACTTCTGACAGCCCTGCCGGTGTTCCTGGTGCGTTCCCTGGCGATGAGCTTGATAAGTCTAATGCCAAGGACGTAGCCTCTGCCTCTGCCTCTGCCTCTGACGACACTACCCGTGAAGCTGCTAAGGACGAAGCACCAAAAGCAACCGAGCCTGGAGATCCATTTGGCGGTAATGATGAGGCCAAGGCCAAGGCCGACTTCGAGAATGCATTTGCAGCTTTCACCACTGCTAAGAGCCATACCAAGCCTTCGCCTGAAGCGAACAAGTCATCTGCCTTTGATTCGGAGTTCCCTCCCATTTCAGAGCTTGAGCGTGATGATGATGAGGAGTCTGACTCAAGCAGTGACAACGGAGGCTTTGATGATAACTTCACGCCTGCATCACCGCCCGCCAAGCCCTTTGGCGAGAAGGCAAACGCAGGAGAGTCACCAGAAGCTACTCACGCAGTCCCTGCCAGCACGTCACCACAGCCAGTCCAGGGAGCCACCCCTCCCTCAGAACCCAAGGCCCCTAGGTAAGTGGTCGATCATGTTCAAAATTTTGATGTCAAGGGTTAACACAAACCAGTACCGATCAGCCTTCATCTCCTGCAACCGTGACTGAAGCCACTGCTCAAAAGTCATCGGTTGATGACATCTTTGGCGTGGCAGCAACCGGCACTGCCCCTGCTTCGCAACAGCCTGCCCCTTCAAACCCCCCTCAGACTAAAGGTGGATTTGACGACTTGGACAGTGACTTTGAAGGCCTAGAGGATGCTAAGGAAGGCTCTGCTGATGAGGATTTTGCCAACATCTCTCGCTCCGGACTGGACGACTTCAACCCCGTTTTTGATAGCAGCCCACCCGGAAGCCAGACTAAGACTGAGTCCACTGCGTTCGGCAACGAGAGCTTCGACTTCATCTCCCACAGCTCAACTGGCGCTGCTCAGACTGCTGTGGGAACCAACCAGCAGAAGGCCCCCGAGGCCCATGACTGGGATGCTATCTTCTCTGGTCTCGACTCCCCTAGCGCAACTGCTGCCCAACCTGCTTCCACCGAGAAACCAGCGGGCGCTGAGTCCCATCCTGGTCAGCAGGCTCTGAACCGCACTTTGTCAACTGAATCCGAGCATGATGACCCAATCCTGAAGAGCCTTACAAGCATGGGCTATAAGCGACCTGAAGCTCTCGATGCTCTCGAGAAGTATGATTACGATCTCGACAAGGTTAGTTGAACTCGATCTACATGAAGAAATCCTTCTAACGTGTACAGGCGGCGAACTTTCTGGCTAGCCGCTCATAATAAACACAACAGAGCTGTCTCGGATATTATCTTCTAAATGAAGACCTTAATGCATACTGCATACTTGTTTCCTTGCTATTGTTTTTGTCTGCATCCTCATGACTCCTTTGTTGAATATTTTTCTTGGCAGCGAGATTTTCCTTTTGCGTCTGGTCCCATTGGACATGGGCTTGTTCTCCTATCATCTGTCCACACACTGTAGTATCATGGAGACTGCTTGTTTGCTTAAGCCTGTATTGATTTCGTCTTTCATGTTGCATGCTTTGAGATTGCAGCTGTAGAGATACAGTTTTGTGTCGCGCCGATATAATGATACATATAGAGCAGACACCAACTAGTTACAATAATGAGCTATTCAAACAAGCGTGAAAATCATTGTCGCTAACAGGGCATGAAACGATGCCCATCATACACAATTGCAATAACCATCTACCTTTTCCCATTTAAACGCGAATCATGACTCGTCCTCGGTTACTTTACCCTGCTCATAATAGTCTCTGGTCCACGCCCACTATCGATATTAGCAGCCTCCTTCTTGACCGCGCCGATCCAAGACCTCTCAAAGTCATCTCTTGACTTCAGTACAGCCTCAACCCACTGCAAATTCAGGTCCCAATAAGCCATCTTGAACGTCACGTAAGCGTCCACGATGGCATCCCGGTCAGCTGTCAACAGACGCAAGAAGTGTTCTGTGACACGCCAGGTCTCCTTGATAGAGGCACCAATGTCAGGGGAAGGGAGTGTGCTGAAGCACTCGAAAGCTGTGGAGATATCGTTGAACAGCTTGTCCTGAAAAGGGTCGGTACGACGGAACTTGGCGCCCTTGTTGCGCACGGCAGATAAGTAGCGAACAAGGAGCTCCTCAGCAAAGATCTCAACGAAAATATCGACCAGTGAATGGTGCAGCACATGGCGGTAGTCGTTGACGTACTCCTCGAATGTCACCACCATCTGCTTCATGGCAGTAGTTGTGTACCATCGAGGCGTAAAGAAGTCAGGCATGACGGTACCAAAATCAACAGAGAAGATGAGTTGAGCGAAGCGGTTGATACACCATGTGCTGAAGTCGACGTAACCGTCACGCAGCGTATTAACTTCACTCTCAATACGTTCAAGGTACGCGGGTGTGACATGCTGCTCGACAAGACGACGGAAGCTTGAGAGGTATGCAAGACGATTCTCGTCCTCGTTGTCGTCGATGCAGGCGATCTGGTCGTTTGCTGTAGCCACGAGCCAATCCTGAAGAGCCTGGAAACCCTCGAGTTCGGGGATCTTACCCTCCTCGTAGGGGATAGCCTCATCTTCAAGCATAGCCTGCCACGACTGCTGACGAGTGCGTAGACGGGCAAACATAGCGTCGATTACACCCTCGACAACGTCTGCGCGCTGGGAGTTTGCAGCCGTGTCCACTTGCTCGCGCAGCATTCGCCACAGGGCGACAAAGTTCTTGGTTCTGAAATAGCCATACTCGTCCTGATCCAGGTTTGAGCCCTCGACGTTGCGCTCTGCAAGATCGCGCTTCTCTTGTGCAAATATTCGGTCAATCCACTCATCGAGAAATTTAATGATGAGCTCACGAAAGTCGCGAACAAGCTCCGCCTCACGGTTGTCGATAACATGGGGTATAAGCTCTTCTTGCTTTAGACCGATCTTTGCCATCTTTCTGTAGTACTTCTCCGGGAAGCCCACGATTTCCAAGGTATGTGCTGACGAAGCCTCGTTGCCGTCTACCATACCAACCAGGAAATCATGCATCAGCTGGTGATATACGCCAGCGTACGTCTTTACTATATTCCACTTCTTTGGCATAAGGTGCGACATTCCAACCTTGACGACGTTTAGGTCGTTGAAATACCACTTCATGATCTTGTCCAACTTGCTCGGATCTTCGAGGAACTCTTCTTTTGCTCCTTCGAATTGTTGCTCTGCGCTGAGCCGAATAGCCTGTATGAACTTCTCCTTATAGCCACGAACCTTCTTAGCGCCGTCTGTGATGCTCTGAAAGCGGGTTGCCATTTCTTTGTGATCTTTGAGGGCTTCCTGCAGTGCTAGTACACGCTGGTCACTGGACTCCTCGGCCTCCATCACCACTGCGAATCTCACAACAAGCCCGTTGTTATCCTGGACAACGAGGTTGATGAGATTCAGAGCAATGATGCCAACATGCTCATCGAACCAATCAATCGTGTCGTCTAGCCTCGAAAAGTAGTCCACCAGTGTCGCCTCGAGACTCTCGTCCTCTGCGCGTTGTATTTGTTCCATGGCATCGTCGCGGATATTTCTCAATTGGGTAAGTTCGTAGTGGCACGGCAGCAGATTGAGCATGTTGTCGCTGTCCTCGTCATCTTCCCGAAGCATCGACTCGACACGCGATATGCGGTCGTTAAAGGTCTCGAGGTTGCGGCGCATGGTCTCGACAGCGCCAAAGTTGCGGTGTGCTTGTGACACGAGGTTGATGCTCGCAAAGTCCTTTATCATATTCTGTGACTCCGAGCACAGCTTGTCGATCTTGATCATCTCCTCTTTGATCATCTGGACCGTCTTCTGGCCGTCGCTCAGCCCCGTCATACCCGATTGTGTCGTCTCAAGCTGCTCGCGCAGGCCGCTTCGGAGCTGGCCATCTACGGCGCCCTTTTTACGTGAGAATTCCAACTTGAGCGCAGGTATCTTGTCTAGATCGTCGGGATGCCGCAGCAGCTCTGAGAGCTTGGGAGCAGGTGTATCGTCCATGGTAGCGGCGTCGGCGTCGGCGTAGAGGGGTTCCGCGCCCAATCAAACCATGATGCGGGGGTATCGTGTCTTTTATAGTGCTAGACTTTTGGTGCTGGTGTCTAGATATCGAATTCGTTGGGCGCAGGTGAAGGTTGAAGCGAGTGTGTCGAGTTGGGCATGTCAAAGTCAACGTCGCGGGGAGCTACTGGTGGTATTCACTGTCCCTTACTGTAGGTCGTCCCATCATGTGGCTGACAGCGGAGCACAGCCACTCTCCCTAATGAGAGTTCAACACCAACGACAGTATCATGATAGAAAGCAGCAAAGTAATTAAGGAATATTCAGATAGAGAGATAGTGTGTGGAAGTTGATACAAGATTAGTTTGTTCATTTTGGGGTATCATTATAGTTATATCTCGACGAATTTCTACAGTTCAATCTTAGTCGCTATCACTTCCAGAGCTACTCGTCTCATCATCATCATCATCATCCTCTTCTCCAAGGCTCTGTTCAGCAATCACATCACCTTCCTCAAGACTCACTCCCTTGAATTCAGTGTTGATCCCATCGTCTGACTCATTGCCCTCCTCGTCACTCCTGACCTCACCCTCTTCAACATCCTGACCCTTATTTCTTCTTTTGTTCGGTTTGGACGGGCCTTTCTTTCCAGGGGGGTTTTTCCTCTTGTTATTTTCCTGAGGGGCCTTATCCTTGGGTCCAAGTGTGAAGGTCTCAGGAAGGCTCAGATCATGGTCAAGAACCCATATTGTGGGAAATTCCAGCACACGCGTATTTCTCAATACCTCTCGCAGGCAGTCCTCGGGGCCAAGTCTAGTGACAACAGAAGGCTTATCCGAAGGGGTCCGGAACTTTGCGAGAAAGAATTGGAACTGCTTCTTCTGAGCTTCTGTCTTCTCAGATGGCCACAAGCCTGGCTCTGTGTCGTTATGATTCGTCCAAGTACCTGTAAAGGGATCTTGGAGTGCAAATGACCCAGAGGACCACGTGGAGTTCACCAAGTCCTGTACTTGTCCGTCCGTACCTGCTCGTGGGGTCTTCTTGGCCTGTCGCCCTTTCGCCTTCTGTTGTTCTTCTAGCGAAGTATGGTATGCTTCGTATAGTGGCACATCATCCATAACCTTCGACAACACCCGGACCTTCTTTGGCTCTGCATCGGGAAGATTCTCCAACACCATCCACTCAACTTGCCAATTGATTCTGTTGGTTCGCCGATTTAGCGTAGTATGGTTCTCCTTCTGCCTCGCCATACCCAGCGGCGCGCACACGATGGTGATGTTCAGCTTCCTCAATCGTGCAGCTAAAAATCGTTCAAAGGTTCTGCCTTTAGCTTCGCGTAAGACTCTTGTGACGAGAACCTTGCGCTTGCGCCCATCTTTTCCAGGCTTCCATTTGACTTCTTGGACTGTCATCGGTCGCAATTCCTCCTCTTGCACGATACCACGCTCTTCAACGAGAAGCTTCTCGGCGCGCTCGACAGAGCGCTCAATCCCATGGAGGAAATTGTAATCATGATCGACACCGGCGGGAGTACGAAGTTTCGATGGAGCCATGTACGCTGTTGCGTCGCGTTCGCCAGAACATTCAGACCACGCTTTGTGCTTCTTGATACACGCGAGGGAACAGGTTCGAGCACCGCATCTTGGGCATTTGTATTTCGGGGTCGATATGTGGCATATTCCGCAAAGAGATGTTAACAAAGGATCAGCCATTATAAAGTGCGACAATTGAAAACTCTGGGTGAAGGAGTTGAAGAAAGAGAAGAATGCGCCAACACTTTCAATGGCCAGACGGACGTCGCTAAAGGAAACTTTTTTATGGGTCTTTTTGCATATCTTATCAGTAGCTCAGATCACTCACTGATCAGGTCTCATTTAATGTCAGTCAGTCTGAAGACTATAACAGCTTGCAAGTCTATGGGACATGCCGTTACAATGATGTATATAACAGCAAGTTGACTACTTTCACACATGATTAGAGACTAGGATAACATTCAAATGTGTTTCATTCTTGTAACCCCCCTTCAACCAGGTAAAGGAGGAAGACTATACAAACACCGCTGCGTAGAAGAATACTCTAACATAATGAGAAGATGGCCGTCAGGCTTAACATAGGTATATGAGCTAAGCTGCTCATCAGATGAGGCAGAAAAATGGTAATGACAAAAAAGATATGAGGGACATCAAACGCCGAACCCGCAGGTTTTGATCCAAGCCAGCCGCCAAACACAAGACAATTAAATCGAAATAAGCAAGAAGTGAGAAGTTGAC